AAAAAAAAAAAAAAAAGAAATACCAGGAAGGGACATGGTCCTGTGGGGACCACACAGGTCTCCTCAGCTCAGAACTATCTATCCCGCGCAGCCGACATCTTGTCCAGGAGCCTCAGCACGAAATTAGTTTTCCATGATATTTGAAGAGATTTCAGTGAGCCTGAGGCTGGATTTCAGTAGACCTGAAACTTGCTCCTCAGTCCCTGAAGTGGCTTGCCTGGCTCATGCTCTGTGGTGTCTGGTGGGTTGAGTAGTTACATGACAGCACTTAGGAACCATGACCCAAAGGCATTATAGCACTTGGATGGATGGGACCGTTAAGCCCTTGCCCCTGGACTTGGATCACTGAGGTGTTCTGAGTGAGGACCTTGGCTGTGCAGTTTGGAGTCAGGCACCTGTTAGCGTGCGAAGCAGCCACCAGTTTAAAAGGAGAGGAAAGCTGGGCTTCATGCGGCATGTCCTGGAGTCATTTACCCCACTCTGCCCAAGCCTTGCTTTCTGCCACCACCCACAGAATTAGGGTGGATGTGGCCCAGCCAGGTGCTCACCACAGTACTCCCTAGAGACCAGTGGGTGAGTCCCCCGGCCCCCTAATAAACTCATGGCTGAGTTGCCCAGTGTGCCCAGAACTACGATGCCATCTCTGAGGTCAATTCTTAAAATATGGTTAAGGCCATAGGTAAGTATTATGTGAAGTTCCCTGGGTGAAGGCAACTTTTTGCTGGTTGTGAGGAAAACAGCACTGAAGCCCCTAGCCACATACACAGCAGGGAAGGACGGCAGAAGGTGGGGCCTCAGAGTCTTCCCCTTACTCAGCCCTTTTCCAGTAGAGCTGTTTCTAGTTTGTTTGTTTCCTGAGACATAACCTTACTCTCAGTATAGTGCCATGGCATCATAGCTCACAGCAACCTCAAAGTCTTAGGCTCAAGGGACCATACTGCCTCAGCCTCCCAAGTAGCTGAGATCTACAGCCACCCACCATGACACTGGCTAATGTTTTTGTCTTTTGGGGTAGAGACAGGGTCTCACTCCTGCTCAGGCTGGTCTCGAACTCTTGAGCCCAAGCAATCCTCCCACCCCTTCCTCCCAGAGTGCTAGGATTACAGGCGTTAGACACTGCACTGGGCTTTGTTTCTGGTTTTGAGGGCAGCTGTTGAGTGACTCTTGGCTCCATGTGCTGGCTTGGGTTGAAAGGGCCTCTGCTTCAAGTCATCATGTGACAGTCCAGCTCCTGGAACCTCTGCATCTTCTTGCAGCCAAGCCCTGCAGAGCCTGGAATCATAACCGGATACACTGTGGGCTCCAGAAGTCAAGGCGGTGCAGACGTCCCTCTGCCTGAAAGGGTTAATCCCATCGAGGTGAAACCTCAGAAAGCTGGTGCCCAGCCCCACACCTCAATACCTGGAGGGCTAGACCACAGGGTCCCCTTCACCCAGCCTGGGAGTCGTTTGTTTCCCGACCAGATGGAAAGCAGGTGTTGTTCCCTCTTCCCTGCGTCCCCTCTGGAGCACCGTTAAGTCCTGAGACACATAAATCTCCTCAATGGAAAAGTAAACATTCTTCCTGAAAAAAAAAAAAAAAACTAGGAAAGGGAAAAAAAAATGTGTCAGATTTTCCTGGCCTACGCTACTCTTTGAGTTTATCAGAATCAAAATGAATCCCTATCAGCAATAGCTTCCCTGGTTTTTCCTATTTTAAACACTGTCGGGTTGAAACATACATCACCCTTTTTGCGAGACGACTGGACCGCAGCCCTCGATAAGACTTTCGCGTTCTCTTTTTCCTCCTGGATGATTTAAGGAACAGCAAAATGTAGTCATTGCCAACTTCTGAAACTTTTCTGGCTGTATTCCTTGTCCTCCCTCAAAACTGAGGCTGTTGTCCAGACCTTAATTCGTAGTGACTTATTAGCAACCAGCGCAAGTTGTAGAATAATCCATTATGAAGAAACCAAGCTTCACTTGGAATCTGTGAAGTTGCTTCTCAGAAAGTCCCCATTTTCTAGAACTGGCTCCAGTGGGAATTCAGAGGGTCACCCTCGGGATGACATCAGCCCTCCCGCCTTTGTTTTATCTGTCAGGTTTGGGGCAGGGTGAAAGTGATGCCCATTCTGTTCTTTTTCGGGTTTTTTTCCCCCTGCCTGTGAAACTGACTTGTACACATTCTTGGGAGCTGCCTCATGACAAGTCCCGTAAATGATTCACACTGAAGTGACCTTTAAAGAGCAGAGTAGAAATCAGCTGGATTTCGGGAGGCTGGAGCTGCAGGGCAGGAGCCAAGCACCCAGGGCCCTTGTCTCTTCCTGCTAAGCTGAGCTCACTGTCACCTCTCTGGCCACTGAACCTGGTCATGTGACTTGGTGATGCTTTTAATCACCAAGCTGACAATATTTACATACACTCCTGTATAATTTAAATCTCTGAGGCTGTGATACGATTAAAATTTTTAAAAACGGGCTCGGCGCCTATAGCTCAACCGGCTAAGGCGCCAGCCACGTACACCTAAGGTGGCGGGTTCGAATCCCCAGCCCGGCCCCGCCAAACAACAATGATGGCTGCAACCAAAAAATAGCCGGGCGTTGTGGCGGGCGCCTGTGGTCCCAGCTACTTGGGAGGCGGAGGCAGGAGACTCGCTTGAGCCCAGGAGTTGGAGGTTGCTGTGAGCGTGATGCCATGGCACTTTGCCCAGGGGGATAGCTTGAGGCTCTGTCTCAAAAAAAAAAAAAAAAAAATTTTTAAAAACGAAAATGAAACTAATAGGCAACTTAAAGGGTTGATGGAAGAGGTAGACATTATAAAGAGGGAGACTTATTTAACTCATCAGTATTAAAATATTTCTATCTGTTCTGTATTTGTTTGCAGGACTGAGTGTCACCAGACGGAATTAAAAATTAGGCCAAGAAATAATTTAACCTTAGCTACCAACGAGTATAAAACACTTACCAAATGCTTATTGTCTTACTGCTTTATAAGTTGTTAGTACCGTAGATGATTTGAACCAGAGGGAAGCTTTTTGTTGTTTTGTAAAATAGCGTTTTTAAGAGGCAGTCTTTTTCTCTGTTCTCAGAAATAAAAATGACCCTCCAGATCGTCCAATCCTTTCGTCTCTCTCCATTCTTTTGTGCTACCATCAAGGAACGGTCGCGAAAGGGTCATTTTTAATCACTGCGGTGAGGATTCCAAGAATCATTCTCATATGCATTTATAACGCTCTGAAAGAAAAGGTAAGGTCACACCCTAATACACAGTACCCTTGCTCCACGCGTTTGGGTTGCAGAGAAGTTAATTACTGGAAAACTCCAGCAAGTCCTAGGACAGGAATGTGACCGTGACAGTGGCCATTCAGAAGGCACCAGTGCCTCTCAGGTCCCCTATCCCTGCCTTCCCACCAGCAAACCTTTTTTCCTCCTCCAGTTTCTGTTTTGTTTATGAGTTTTTTTGTTTATCGGGTTTTCTCCAACATGTGGTAAGAGTTGGGGTGTAGAGGGAATAGTTTGAAGTTAGCTGGTTTCCCTTCTTATTTAAACGTTGAACAAATGGGATAAATTCTTAAGGTGAAATGTAAACAAGCTTTTTAGACATTTATCATGTTTTTTGGTTTTAAGTAAGAGGATAATATTTGTTTCTGCTTTAATGCTAAAATATTCCCTGCCTTTTGCATTTCCTAGAGGGTGCCCTGGGAAGTTACTGGTGTGTGTGAGAAGCACAAGTGCTGGAGAGTGAGAAATGGGCCAGCTGACCTACATCTCAGCTCAGAGGACAGAAAACTGTAGGGCTTTTGTGCCTGGGGGTTTCCTCCTCCCTGGTTTTTATTTCCATGCACATTTGGTTATGAATGCCAGTGGAAACCAGAACACCAGGAAAACAGCTGTTCTCATGGTATTTCTGGCCTGCCAAACAAGAGAACATTGGATTTTTCCCAACTTTTCTGTTTTCACACAAAGTTAATCCCCCTCCACCACCTCAGGTTTAGGGACTTAGAGTTTCAGGAACTTACCTGATTTCCAACCTTTTGGGTATTGCTGTATGTCCTTAGTAATGTAAAAAAATTTTACACGTGAGTTCATATTATATTTTAGGATTTTTTTGTTTGTTCTTTTAAAAATAAGTCTAAATTGTTCATATCTTTTTTTTTTTTTTTTTTGGAGACAGAGTCTCACTGTATTGCCCTGGGTAGAATGCTATGGCGTCACAGCTCACAGCAACCTCAAACCCCTGGGCCCAAGGGATTCTCTTGCCTCAGCCTTCTAGGTAGCTGGGACTAAAGGTGCCTGCCACAATGTCCAGCTATTTTTGTTGTTGCAGTTGTCATTGTTGTTTAGCTGACTCTGGCTGGTCTTGAACCCGCCAGCCTCAGTGCACGTGGCTGGCGCCATAACCACTGTGCTACAGGCACCGAGCCTATTCATATCTTTAAATCTCTAATCAAGATTTCAGGTTCGTATAGCAATTAGTAATAAATGATTGAATGTCACATGAAATTATCTGCCTTCCATACTTTGAAAGGCATGCTAAGCAGTTGCCCTTGATGGTGGAATTTTTTAATATGTATCTATTAAAATTTTGCCCGGCTACATTTTGGCAACTGGAAGAGGCATTTCCACAACCAGGGCAAATCTAGCTACTTCGGGCTCCCATATTTTAAAAACAACTCTTTAATCTTAGGAAATCTGGAGAAAGATTTCTTGAAGAACAGAGCAGCATTTTATTTTAAATATATTTGTGTGTGTGGTGTATGAATAGGTATACACGTATGTCCCCATCGTCACAGAGAATCACAGGGGAGCAAGGGGGGTCTTGAACTCTTCAGGGAAACAGCTCTCTGTAGATCTAGAAGAGAAGCCGGTGGAAGACCCAAGGTCTCTCTGACTGAGATCTAAAAGGTTATTTGTGACTCTCTGGCTCCCATAAGGACCAAGGAGGCCAAACTCCCCTTTAGAAATGTCACTTTTGGGAAAATGTGTCCTTTCTTAGGTTAAAAAAACTATCTTCCTCAGCAGTCCTGCAGCCCAGTACTGTGTTTACAATTTAAACATTTCACTCAGCCACTGTGTGATCTCTCCTAGTTAAATAGGCCCATTCACCACCACTGCTAGGCTGAAAAGTATCCAGATCAAGTTTCATCCAATTGAATTAACATCAGGATAAGAAAATATCCATATAAGGCTGAGTTATTCCTGGGGTCCTCATAGTAGGCTATTTCAGGATTGTTTTGAGGGAGTTTTTTTCGCTCTGCCGAGTGAGTAGGATATAGTCAACCTCCCCCCCCCCCAGGAATTTCATTAAATTATTCATTCTTGAGTTATGAACAAATTCAAGTTATATTTCAAAGGACTAATTTATCCCTTGAAATGTAGTCCTGAAAGTCTCACTACAGGATTTATTTCCCCTGAAGTTAAACTTGATTCTTTATTTATATGGGCACATAACTAGTATCAACAATATATTATTTGGGTGTTTCTCTTTTTTTGGTCTCTGAACATGAATTTTTCATGAATATAAACTTTGGTTTGAAAAAGCAAAATGTACCATTTAAGACACTTAGGGACACATGAACAGGGGAGAGAATCTTTGTACTGAACCAGAAGGCCTGCTTTTCCTTTACCATTCAATATGGACTAACCCCCTTTCCATTGAGAGTAACAGTGACTATAACGGATAAGCCCGCAGGAGAAAAACTTTGCTCATCAGTTATAAGAACTGGAATAATTACTGGTAGGAGTAGCAGGCACAAAAGAGAACTTCTCCCATAACAAAATGAGAATT